AAATCGCATGTTCCCTAAACGCGACAGCACGCGCGGTGTACAACTCCCATATGAAATTCTGGAACTACCTGGTCTCCCTCCCTATGAACGCAAGGATCCTCATTTGGGCTTGTTCCCAGGGTTAAGGGTTTAGGCTTAAAAGCTTTATACACCCTAAACTTTATCAGGAATCCAGACATCCCTTTGCGGAGCGTCCTCATGGGGATTGAAGGTTTTTCCCAGAATCCGAGCCCCCTTGTCACCCAACAACAGCATTAAAGGACCCTTGAAGGGGACCTCTTTTCTTGCTGGCAACCTAGACCCGAAAATCTAGACCCAAAATCCAAAACCCTAAATCCTAAATCCTTCAACCCTAAACCCCAAACCCTAAAAACCCTAAAACCCTAACCCAATGCTGCCAGAGGCCAAAAACCCCTAAAAACCCTAACCCAATGCTGCAGGAGGTGCATCTGAAAACAGCTTCCGGTAGTTGACGTTGCTGAGGTCCGCATGAGGCTGCAGATAGAGGATCGCCCTCTGAACCTAGGGTTTAGGGTTTAGGGGGTCCCTCTTAAGTATCGAATCTTTATGGTAATATAGGGGTAAAAAAGGTCTATGTTGGGATAATGGAAAAGAAAATGGAAACTACTATTTAGGGTCCCCTAAGTATATAGAATATGGGGTATATGGGGATCTTATTATAATATATCCAAAGCCACATTCTATCTACTCAACGGGGGCTATCGGGTTTCGGGGTGGTAAGGGTCCCCCCCAGAACCCTAAAGCCTCTTCGAGGGTAGCTTGGGGGTCTAGATCCCCGTAAAGCCTTGGGTTTTGGGCAGCTTAGGGTTCAGTAGGGTTGAAGGATTGGGTTTTGGGTTTAGGGTAGGCACTGTAGGGTGTTTGACGATAGGAATTTCACACTGGTCACCACTCCGAAATTAGAGGAATTTTTTAGGGCCCCATAATGCAGATTATAGCTGTTTTTGCTGTATATTGGAGTCCCCTAGTCTATGGAAACGACCACTCACACCTCCCATGATGCTCTTAAGGGGACAAACCGCGCCTGCGGATACCCTGGATCCGTGCGACTTTTGGAACTTTGAGTGCCTTCAAACTACGACCCCCGCCCTGTAATCGTGACACTAGGAAACAAGAGGACCCTAATAAGCCCTCATAACCATTACATTCTCCCTTATGATAAGCTGGGTGGAGGGTACATCTAAAGAATAACCCTGACTTGAACGTGTCTGGCCCCTATCAGCTACAGGACCACTGCTTACCGTGCTGACCAGCCACCTCAGTAGATTCAAGAAAAAAAGCCCTACAAAGAAACGGAGCAGAAGCTAAGTCAGGCTCTCCAGGGTCCACGGAAACAGTTTCGAAGTCCCTGCAGGGCAATCTCAAGACGGTGCATTACGACCTGCGGACCCGTTTTCAAGCACCATGTGCTTCCAACTATCTGGTTCATGAGGAGACCCAATTCACTATAGGACCCCCAGGACAAGAATCCACAAACCCACAAACCGCACGGCGGTGCAGCCAAGAGACATCCTCGATGTGGAAGGGATGTCCCACCTGTTGTGGCTTCAGCTGAGAATACGCGCGTTTCTCGCTTGAGGTCGCCACGAAATCCCCTGAAACGTCCCCAACAACCCTGAACCCTATGAACCCCTAAACGCAAGAGGATGCCCGCTGCAAGATCCATGGAAGGACATCTTCTATAGTCCCCCTTAAGTAGATAGAATATGGCCTTGGGAATATTGTAAGAAGATCCCCATATACCCCATAGTCTATCTACTTAGGGGGACTGTAGACCCAGGGGGCTGCAGGAGCAGCTCTCCGAGGAGATTTCGGTGAAACTTAAGCAATATAGTAGCAATAAAGTAAGTGTAATATAGTAATAATATAGTAATAATATAGGAATAATATAGTAACAATATAGTAATAATATAGGAATAATACAGGAATAATATAGGAATAATATAGTAATAATATAGTACCCTCACCTTTGAACCCAAGCTCCTGCCTTCAAGGGTGGGGTATGATGCACTTGGGTTGTGGGTTGGGCTGTTACCTAATAAAGATATAGGGATATGGAAAATAAAATGGAAACTACTATTTAGGATATTTAGGGTTTAGGGTTTAGGGTCCCCACGGGTTAAGGCTAACTACTGTAGCTCGTCGCACACGGCCCATTTCTAAGAGTGCAGCTGGGGGGGGGGGGGTTCTGCAGTGTCTACAGCTTCAAGCCCTTGCATCATATCATCGCCGCTGAATCAACCTTAGGGTTCAAAATTTATAGGGCATATAGGATTTAGGATTTCGGCTTTAGGATTGATAGGGTTTTGGATTTAGGGTTTAGGATTGAGGGTTTGGTGTTCAGGGTTTCGGATGCCGGTTTTGCCAGAAGTCCGGCAGCTCTTTCTCGGGCATTCGGGGAAGAAGCGTCGTTGTTTCCGTCCATAGGGGCCCCGTATCAACCCCAAAAGCAATGGGATTCCAAAAAGATCGGGACCCTCAACCACTGGACCCCATCATTTTGCGAAGCTCCTATATTGGAGCCCATGGGAAGCCCTGGTACATCTAGACCCTAAACTCCAGGACTCTGGTTCACAGCCTGCTCCAAGGCATGCTGAATCTGCTCGGCAGACACATGGTCCTGTGCAGGTACTGTGGGGGCCTAAACGCTTATTTAGAAGAGGGTCTTGGGGCACATTATCTACCATGCTTTTGTGCACCGGACGTTTCTCTGGACACAGAGGAGCCCTGCATGTACATACACATTATACTGACTCGACATGAATTCTGTGAGCATCGCTGCCCTCAACGCTGCTGTGTTGTCTGTGGCCAAACCTCCGCCTGTTGCCCCCCAGCCTCTTTTTGAAGCGTGCCGGACTACGCAGGTTGGTCTCTGTTGCATAGCCGAATCCAGCGAGCGCATAAAATGTGTACGCACTTGAACTTCTGCTATGAGCTAGCAAGATTACCTTTGAAGCTTTCCATGCCAAACGACTGTGCATGCGTAATTCGTGCCGCATCCTAATTTGGACATCGCTTTCCTGGCAAGGAGACAACGAACTGACACCCACAATCACCCTTCTCAAGCATGATCATATCTGTCATATCTTGCTTGCAAATTCGTGTTGCTTTGGCGAGTGGATGGTGTCCGTTTGTCCATTCTGGCTGCTTAGTGCTGGTGTTGTTCTTGTGGTGCTTCAAGTTCTTGTTGACAAGAACTTTCAGCATCACCCATCACTGGCACAGTGCATGACGAGGTCTGATGTTCAAGAACATGACCATTTATGACCACGGCGCTGCTGTACATGTACAAGACATGGTTGTTCGCGCGTTGTTTGGCAGCAACAACAACATCATCGTTGTGCTGTGTGCTTCTGGCTACACTTGACTTCGCTGTTGATCACACAAATCTCTTCTCACACTTCAAACTCTTGAGCTCTTGCATTTCTAGGCCATGTTGTGCGTTGTAGAGAGCGCCTCGTGGGTGATGTGCTGCATTTCCTTAAGCAGCCTCATGATGAAGTTGTGCCTCGGAGGGGGGAGGGGGGGGGTTAGCGGGTTAGTGTTTAGGGTTTAGTTAGGGTTTAGGGTTTAGGGTTTAGGATTTAGGGTTTAGTGTTTAGGGTTTAGTTAGGGTTTAGGGTTTAGGGTTTAGGGTTTAGTTAGGGTCTCCTGCAGCTCCAACGTATGCAGCAAAGTACGAAGAGTCCGCTACCTAGACTACAACTTCTACCTCAAGGGTCTCAAGCTTCTCATCGAACGCCTATGCGAGTTTCCCTAAATAAGGCGACCCAAACATAACAAGGCACCCTAAACCCTAAGCCCTAAAACGAGGAAATTTCCACATCCCCCCCTGCATAAAAGAAGACCGACATGATCAAAAGGCTGTCCACCCGAAGCCTCATTGCAAGATATATATGGGGGTTTCCCAAAATACCAGGTGCCTTTAAGGGGCTTATAGGGGATATACAGGGGTCTTAAAGGGATCTACAAGTTTTGGGGTTTGGGGTTTCCGAAAATTAGTACCTTTTAGAAGAAGTATGCTGGGTTCTACATTGTTGTCCCTCTATTTATGGAAACTCCCATATACGCCAGACGTGCAGGTGTACATGACACCAATGCTCCGACCGTCTCGGGAATACTGAAGTTCAAAGGCCAAGCAACTATGACAAACGTGGGTGGGTTGTAGGGATCACCAAAAATTCAAAGTGTACCTTGCCGGCTACTAAGATTGCATTAGGCAGAGACCGTCAGAGACCCTTCATATGTCAGGGTTCCCCGTTCAAGGCGGCAGCCAACTGTCAGACAGAGATGCACATGAGCCGTAGTTTAAACTCCTAGTCTCCCCCTCAATAAACCCCTATAATACTCCCCTAGATTCCCCTATACAACCCCCCGTTAAGGAGTTTAGACAATAGCTCACATGAAATTTCAGCACCGAATGAGCATTCAAACCGCTTGGTGGCATGGAAGCAACACCGCAACGGCATGAGCTGCAGTCCAAACTCCTAGCATCCCCCTTAATAACCCCGAATATAGGGTTTAGGGTTTAGGGGTTAGGGCTTGGGGTGTAGGGTAAAAACTCCCAGTACCCCCCGAATAATCCCTATAATGGAGAATCAAATGGAAAAGGAAATGGCAAATGAAATGGAAACTGGGATTAAATAGGGGATTATGGGAGTTGCAGTCTAAACTCCTAGTATCCTCCTAAATAAATTCCATAATACTCCCCTATATAACCCCCTATAAGGAGTTTAGACTATAGCTCCATGACCTTGACTGTAAGCAATGGCAATGGCTGGTGGGATTTCAGGCGCACCGGTTCTGCAGGGCCCAGACTCGGGATTTGGCATGTAGGCATAGGGCATAAGGCCTAGGACCTGGGGGGCGCCGTGTGAGGTCCAAGAGAATTGAACAGAATTAGAATTGAATCAAGACGAATGTGAAGTATCAGGTATAAACCAGAAATGTTGCAAACACGTTTGTCTATACGCCAGCTCCTAGATCGGGGCACCAGTCTTGCAGCCATGCAACTTCTTGTACAGCACGTCACCCATCTCTTTCACAGCTTTTCGGACCTTTCAGGATAAGCTCAGCTTACCGCTGCTCCCTTTGCAGCCTATGTAGGTGTGTTAGGATTTAGGGTTTAGGATTTAGGGTTATTTCTGCAAGAAAGAATCCCTAAAGGTCCAAGTACCCGATAATCATATACAAGCCCCAAACCTGTACTACAGTTACCAACACCCCAAAAATCCCAAGCAGCTGATTATGGGGTACTGGACCCTAGACCCTAAGCCCTAAATCGTAGATATTCCTATAGATCCCTGTATATCCTTCAAAGGGACGCAAGTATTTGCACATGGACCCTTAGGGCCTTAGGGAATGGTACTCGTAAGAGGCAATGGGCAGTAACCCTGTTGCGAACTGAGAGTTTGCACACCTGCCTTGAGCTCTTGGGCCATCTGGCAGTAGTAGTAGTAGTAGTAGTAGTAGGAGGAGGAGGAGGAGGCACGCGGCGGGGAAAAAAAACCCGAACACGACACGCACGTGCTGCAGGGTCTGAAAGTGCTGGCAGGCGCAGTGAATTTGAGCGGCGGTGAAATCTTGTATCGCCCCGTTTTTGGAGCCAAATTTGGATCCAAAAAGGAGGCGATGCAAGATTTTGTCGCAAGCTTTCTTTTCAGGTCAAGCGCAACCGCAAAAGTGCTCCACGTCC